GGAGGAGCTTTCGGGGGTCAGTGCCTTTTGTGGGCACAAAAACTGTGGGTTCGTGCCAAAGGGACGGTACGGGGACACACACAGTGGCAGATCTCCTTAACTCGGGCCTCACTCAGTTCCTGACGCCACTGCGCACAGTGAGGAAAAATCCCCGCAGCTGGGACCATGTTGCTGCACTGACTCGGTCAGATGGTTTCCAATTTTAGTTCTTCAGATTGACTCGTAACTAGCCTTTGTCTGTAGGGGAACAAGCAAACGCAACTCTCCTTTAGATGGGATGCTTCCCTGGAAAGGGAGTGATGTCTGTCTCCAGTGGTGGTTTTTGACTAACTTTTTCAATGCAGAACTGCCCCTCTGTGTAGGATGTGGGGTTTCAGCTGAATATTTGAGTGAAAAAGTAACCCAAATGCATCAGCAAGGCTGGCAGTAATCCCCCAGCTATCGTGAGTGAAAAACCACCACACTGCTGTGCTGTCATGCAGAACTGATACAGTCTATCATAGGCCCAGTGTTTAAAACAAGTGGAACAGGTACTGCTTTCAGGTGGTAAAGATCACCACTTGTAAGATCCCTCCTCAGCAGCATTACATATTATGATTGCACTGATTCTTAAGTCCTGGAGCCACGCACAACTTTGAGTCAAGAGGCATCCAGAGGTGATAGTATTCTGACATACAAACTTAGAAATAAACTAATGAACAAAAATATTTTAATTTGAACAGTTTTTCTAGCATAACCATTTTGTAAACAATCTGCAACTGAATAGTTACTAAAAGGAAACCACCAGAAAATGTAAAATTTAAATCTAGCATAACTGAGTTGAATTAATAAAATCTTTGAACATGCTCCTGTTGTTAATAAAGCAAGTGCATTAGATTAATATAAAACCTTCTGGAACCTGTTGCTATTTGTAACATGGTCCAAGCTCAGTTTAGTGTTTAAGGAATTATTTTAATTAGAGTTCATTCAGTGGAAATACTGGACGGGGAAAAAATTGAACTAGTAGGTGTAGAGTTTCAGAGGAGGAAGGACACTACTACCACACCTTCGGCAGACAAAGCCTGTCCCAGCAGATGGGGATCAGGGCTGTGTTTGGCTTGGCCGGCTGGAGAGGGGTCTGGTGGGAGCCCTTGGTGATGCTGGGGGTCAGTTTGACCACCACTGCCGTCGGGGTTCACATGGGGGCTTCCCCCACTTTCCTTCAGGTCCTGTACCCTCCAGGTAGGGCAGGGGGAGGGCTGGGGGGGCAGCTGAGGCAGCCTGGGGCTCTGGAGCAGTTGGCTGAGGCTGAAGGAGCTCCCCAGCCTGGAGGAATGGGGCTGGGCAGTGGCTGGCTCTCAGAGCCCTGGTGCTCCCAGGTGTGAGGAGGAGGATGCATGCTCTGGCTTTGCAGCCCTCCACCTCCCCCCTGATCAGGCCTCCAGCATCCCAGCTGGGGCCTCGGCCTGTCGGTCAGCTGTCCTCTGCAAATCTTGCGGATGGAGGGAGCCGGTGCGTGGGATCAGCAGTTCCTCCTCACTTGGCAACCTCTGTCCCACGGGAATATGAATGTCCCAGCTGGGAGCCCTTCCAGGATCCCGCAGGGTACGACTCCTCCGGGTGCCACCGGCACCCCCAGGCCCGGGCCAGCCCTGCGGGTGCAGCTCCCGCCTCGGTAACTCCGTCGCCGGGGAGCGGCAGCGTGTGAGCGGCCCGGGGGGAAGCCGGGCAGGCAGGCTGCGGTTTCCGAGCCGCTCCCGGGATCGGGCTGTGTAGGAGCCTCGCGGAGGGGGTGCTGCAGTTAAGGCAAGCCCTGCCCTGCGCTAAACCGAGAAGGGAATTGTCCGGCTCCAGGGAAACCTCTCACCGTTTTGTTCGAGGTTACACACCAGCGCTAAAAGCCGGGGTGGGGAAAGCGCAGTGGAAAGGTGCCCTTGCTTCCCGAACCCCTCTGCCTTTCACTTTGGCCAACTCTCCCGTTTCACGCTGCTTCCCGGCCAGGGAATCTCCCTCCCGGGTCGGCAGGCGGGAGCCCCCAGGGGGAGCGATGCTACCGCCCGCACCGGGTGCTACAGGCAACCTGGCAGGAGCAGCTGCAGCTCCCGGGTCAGGGCAGCCGCCCAGAGCCGGACCCAGGGGAGCCGGCTGGGCCTGGGGACAGAGGAGGCATCGCCCCGGCTCTGGGGGCAGCTGCCGAGCAGGGACCAGGAGTTACGGCTGACAGCCTCCCTTCACTAGCGTACATTCCCTGAGAAGGTGATGGTCAAGAGAAAAAGTCTTACAAGTTTCCATTTTCTAATCCAGGAGAGGGAGAGCAAGAGATTAAGCATAAATCTGTTCCCCAGAGGAAGCAAGCAGTTTGTTCCAGAGTCACTTGTGACCTCCAGTCACTCTTATCACACTGGGCACCTGATATCTATGAGAGAAACAAGCACAATCAACCTCTCATGTGAAAGACAAGGCTGAGTGGGGAATTGATTATTTTTAAAAAGAGTCTTAGAAATGGTAACATCAAGTAACAGTTAAATGTACTTTAATTCCTTCAAACAGAAGGATATCTTGAAGGTACATCAGAAATTATTTCATTGATTTCAATATCTTAAAAAAAAAAAAAAAAGCATGGCTTCAAAATTCAGGAACAGTATCCAATAAACAAAGTACTGTTGTTATGCGCCTGGTTTAGAGTGTGGTACAAAGAAAAGCTTACAGATTCAAGAAAACGGCATAAATGACTAAGAAATTGATTCAGATAATGCTTGTTTACAGGGACAAAAACTATGTTGACAAGTATGAGTAAGCACACAGATAATCTGTTTAAAAAAGCCCAAACCTTTCTAACTGTATTTACACACATGGATGTATTTGCTTTCCTTTGGCACTATAAATTACAGACAAAAGATTCCATTTTATAGCCATTAAACTTAAAACTTAAAAATAACCTTTGAGTCATTTAAATCATACAGCCCCAGCATAGTAGCTTCATCTTATTAAATTGCTGCCAACTCTGTAGTCTAACTCTGGAAATTCAGGCCACAAAGCCTGAATTCAGCTTCTACCTGTGACAAATTTCACTCAGCAGGATTAACTGGATGTGAGCAGCTCAAGCAGCAGTGGGGAATTAATGAGATACAGACAGGTATTTAATAAGAATGAATCTCCCATTCTTATCCAAGGTGGACATCTACCTTTAAATGCTCTTTATATGCATATACAAATTAAATCAGGTAGAAATGGACACCCATTACATATATTCAGCCAAATTAGCCATTAAGTGAACAGTCATGAGCACATGATGGCCATCTGTAACATTTCTTCAGCCTTGCAGAGAAATGTGTTAATCCCTACTCATTTCCATTGCTAGAAAAAAAAAAAATTACACTTAACAAATATGGTTTATTCTTTTAGCATGTTAGTTTACTTTTTAGGCAGGGCCAGGAGTAAACCCTTGTTTCACAGGAAATTCAGTTTTTTCAGTACAGTAGCAAGAGTGTTTTGGCAACCTGTAAAATCCAAAAGAACATGCAAGAAAAATCTCAGAAGTACCATTTAATTATTCACTTCTCATTTCTTGTTCATGGTATTTGACTTTATAGAACCTGAAGCTTTGATTACTTTCAAAACAGTTTTTACAGGTTTTCTGCTAGTAACCAACAGGGGTGTAACAACAATGGCACAATATTTTTCTTAAAGCAATAAAGACTAGGAAAAAAGTATTTTCCTTGAACAACTACAATCAATTAGGACTACATAAAAATTAAGTAACGAGGCATCATGGCAAGTAATAGCACATCAACCCTCTACCACAACAGGAAGCGGTTTTCAATCTTACAACAAAAAGGAATTGAATGAAAGAGAATCTAAAATTTATAGACTTCATGTTTTGTTCCTTCTCTCTCTACATGGTAAGAAACCGTTACCAATTAACATTTTACTTTGCTCTGCAAGTAGAATCAGGGCAGAAGCTTTTGTTGAAATAAACAGTTGCCTTATTTTTGCATTGATCACATGCAGACTGGACGTTGTCTTGTCTTTGATAACTAGATTGAATACAAGCTGAACCAGACACTTACAGAATGTTTCCTCCACACACGTTATTTGGGCATGTCTCACAGACATTAATCTTGTTCTGCTAAGTGTATTCTTAAGCATCAAAAGAAAGCCGAATTTGACTATAGCAAATTCTGTGAGGAAAAGGAATCAGAGAATACAACAGCAAGTCTTCCCAGAAGACAGGTTTTTTTCTACACATCCAAAGAGAACTAGCTGTTTGAATTTTAGATTAGCTGATACAACATTTTTTTAAATATTTCAAAAGCACAGCATGTTAAAACAACTTTCATTACACTCTGTGGAATACCAGTACCAACAAACTCTATGTGAAATTGTTAAAAGCTACTCAAATGCAGGCTCTTAAAATGAAAGAGTACAGTATATCTAAAGCATATATACATGCTGCTACCAAGGAAAGAAAGCAGGAAAGTAGCAACTTTTTATACACATGCTTCGCTAATCTTGCTCTTTGAAATAGCCCCCAAATTAGCTTGCACTTAAGATTTATTTTCAACTGAAATGACTTACAAAAAGACCCAAATCTTCTTATAAGACCTCCTGGTCTTTTTATTCTGAGCTTGCATGACGTTTTGATGCAAACTGAATTACCGGAGATACAGTACTGCAAGTTATTACTTAAAAAAAAATAAATCTAGGAATCAGGTGATTTTTCTTTTTAAAAAAACGTGACTATAAACCTGTCTTCACACAAGGCATGTGTACCTACAGCCCTGTCTTACCCAGTTAGGTAATTCAAGAAATGGAGTGTGCAGTAGTAACTACCAAAGGAAACATTTTACAAGTACTGAAATAGTGGAGACTAAATGAACAGATTATCAGTCCACACAACCACAAGGTTGCATTGCACTACATAAATACTGACCAAATGCCCCCAAAAATGTCAAGAAACTACAAGCAAGTTCAAAACAGGATATTAAAACTGTTTCTTTCAGTGAAGACCAACCAGTCCCTTTGTGTACACATTTAGTTTTATTGTAACAAAGCAACTTGTACACTTTAACGTTTAAAACTGAGCATCTTTCTTTCCTTTCCAGTGAAACAAAAAAAAAAAAAAAAAAAAAAAGAATTTAAAAATAAACAAGAACAAAATTACAATAGAGAATGTCAATTCCAAATAAGATCCTACAGGTTCTGCTGATTCTCCATCAAGTGGCAGGGCTCAAAGTCGTCATTAGGAGAAGATTTTATTTTAAAAGTGTCATCTTAAACTGCAAGGATGTTTGTTAAACATCACAATTAAACATGCCAAAGGAGAAGAAGCCATGTTGTCAAAATGCCCACTTAACCCACCCAAACATCTGAAACCCACCCCGGCTGACCTTCTATAACCCCATTTTTTTTTTTTTTAATTTTTTCTTTTTTTTTAAACAAGAGAAAGTAGACAGATACATGTTGGTAAATGCTAACTGTCCATATTCACATAGAGACACAGTGTAATCTCTGAGCCCAATATACAGAGAAAGAAGGAAAAAAGCTAGATTCTATGCACTACTACACAGGGGCCTAGCACTCTTCAGCTTCCAGCAGAGTGAAGGGAGCAGAAGGTTTTCTTTTTTCCCACAGAACATGGTGTGTTGATTCCATAAACAGTTTTTGTTTTGAGACAGAAAGGGATAAAAATGAACTTGAAACAGAAACTGGTAGATTCTTTTCCACTGTATTCTGCTCAAGGTATTTCCCCCAAAATAAATTGTGAACCATGGTGTAGAGGAGAGAAAAATAGACCTCAAGAGAACAAGGCGACTGAGCACAAGAAAAAAAAGACAGCAACTTGCTCCCAGGGACTGGAGAAAAATTAAAAAGGTAAAAAGGGGGTTTGGAATCCATCAGTGTTCAATTAGTCATCTTCTCCTTCATCCTCCTGTTGAAACATAAGCAACAATTAAAACAATCTGATCACTAAACTTCAGATAGCACGAAGTTTCAAATGCAATAACCAGAATGTTTTGCTACCCTACAGAGTTATTTATAGCATGCTGTATGATGATCTCTCTTGCCTGCTTCACTAAGGAGTAGTAATGCTTGCCATACATAAAAATCAGTTAATAACTGGATGCCCCAATGAAAAAACATCAGGCTTGAAAAACTACCGTGACTTAGAATCACTACAAACACTGATGTTTAGAAATCAAAGGGGTCATCTTTTTTCCCCTTGTTTTAAACTCTGAAGAGAAAAATGCTTCAGCTTTCAGATGCTAAATTCTAGGTTACATAGTGGAGCCTGGTACTCTGGTGCCCACAACAGTCGTCCGATCTCAGTACAAGTAGTTTTTTTGCTGCTGAAATTCAGACACACCACACCCAATTACAAAAAACAAAGACATTCTAAACTTTAACTTACCAACACCCTTAATGCTGTCCCTGGAATCCTACTTGCAACTAAAGAAAATTTCTAATTCCTGAGTCCACAGAGTCTTATCTAAGCTGGGCATAAGCAGAAATAAGCCAACAGGTGGGAGGACAGAGCTGGATATATCAACAGAAGTTATTTACAAGTAAAGCCTTGCTAGAATGTTCGCTAATTAAGAATTTTGTTATGCTAATATCCTAGTTCTTCTAAAGCACCACCTTTACAAATTTACTGAAGTTACTTATTTGCACTCTCTCTTATATACACAAACATACTTACTGCTACACTGAAACCACTCCACAAGTTAAGGTAGTAACAGTTCTGCTTCCCCCCTCCAAACACCTTGTCAGTGACTGTACAGAAAAGAACTATTTTACTTTTGTAGCAATGGCTCAGTATTCTTACAAGATCCCTCTTATAATTTATTTTGATTCTCATACACCAAAGATGGAAGGCATAAGGAGTAAGATTACTCACCTCTCCTTCCTCTCCCTCATCATCGTCTTCATCTTCCTCCCCCTCATCTTCATCTCCTTCTTCATCAATATCCTCCAATCCTTCTTCCTCTTCATCGTCATCATCATCCTCCTCTCCCTCCCCTTCTTCATCATCCATATCAGGAACCTTAAAGACACAGATGCAACATTAACTACAGTGATCAAACTCTCTTTCACTTGAACAGTGCTTTTATGGGTGTGGATCAACAACTCCGTGCTGTACTTACCAAGTAGTACTGTAAGGGATTTGGCCAGATGTCGTCCTTGATGACTTCTCCTAGTTCATCAGCCCCTGCATCAGAGTGGTCAGTGAACCAGGTAAAGAAGCTTTCTGGCTCTTCATGCTGCCTCTTCCTACTGGCTTTGTTCTGTGTCTGGCTTGAACGTTTTGTCAGATCCTGAAAAGAAAGTTAAGACGTTCCCTAGAGAAGTGGTCTCTGTATATGGTTTGGGGTTGGCTTGTTTTTTTGTTTTTTTGTTTTTTTTTTTTTTTTTTTGTTTGTTTGGTTGGTTTTTTTATTATTATTTATTTTTTTTAATAAGCACCATTTAGAAACGTACTTGTCTGAACAACCACAAGTAGGGAGAAGTGTTTAACAATCTTTTGAAACTCACAGAAAAAGACTGCATTCTCAAGAACACTGGAAAACAGTAAAACCACGTTTCTTTTAATGACCTCCACCAAAACACTGCAAATTCACAGGATCTTGCATTTGATTTATGGTTCCTTATCACAGGGAAGCGCAAGTACAAGCGTTTAATGACATACTGAACTTAAAAGATCTTACAATGGCTACATGCTACTCAGAGTAGCAGTAATTGTAGCTAAAATGCTGTGACTACTACATACACACAATTTAAGAAACACTCCAGTCTCCACACCTCTAAGCTCTGTCTTTAACTTGAGAAAAAGAATTGCCTTCTCATCCTAAGATTTCCTACTATGAAGTCCATCTTTTGTACTAAGTGAAAAAAAAAAAAAAAACACATACAAACTGCTAAAACATATGGTCACAAAAATACACATAACTCCTGTATCTACTATGTTATCCCAGAAGTTCACTAAGTTTGCAACAGACTTTCTGCAAAGTCTGAAAACTACTATCCACTATTTAAATCCATTCTTTCTTTGCTCATACGGTAACTCAAAACTTCTAGTATGTTTTCTTGATAGAATCACATTTATAGGTTTAGACTGTTTAATGAAGAACAATACCAGAATTCACATTGATTTTGTGGTATGTTGTAAAGATCATTTGGCTAGTTTGTACTGGACTGTAACTTCTGATACAAGAGGAAAAGTTCTATTTCTCAATTAAAAAAGTTTACGTTTTCCTCTCGGTCTGAGAGTGACAAAACAAGCAGTGACTTAACTGCAATCCTCAGTTCTACTTTTAAATACTCATTTCAAAATCTTCACATGAAAGCACTCCCAACTTTTACAGAAACTAACTACAGGAAATTATTATGTCTGAATACTGTCTGGATGAAAGACATGCCCACATTATTTCGTGGCTGCAACTTCTCCAACGATGTGGTATCTGGAAACAAAGTTGAGAAAAAGAAAAAAACAACCAACTGAAAATCAACCAAAATCATACACTATAGGTGCCTATAGGACCCCTCAAAACCATGCTGTCCTCACAATTCTTAATTTAGCAGTTATCTTAAGCAAACAACAAAACACAGATTCTAGATCCATGCCAAAGAGACAAGCTAATGCACTTGTTAATCCCTCCATCTGGTCATACTTGTACTTTCACTGTTTTAATGGTGGTGCTGAACTGAGCAAGAGAATTCACTACAGATCTCCATTTAAATGTGGTATTCCGAACCCTACAGGGGAGGCATGAACTATGTATGTAGAGAATTGGAAAGAGGGTTGAGAGGGGAAGGGAGACAGTTTCAATTCAAAAGAATAAAATGAACACCATGAAAATGATGGTATCACAAAGAGCAGCAATCATCTTTCCCCAATGCACATACACACCTTTCCAGATTTCCATTTGATCTCAGTTGATTTTGAAGATGGGTCTCCACTTTCATTGAGGTGAAACTCTTTGGAGAGAACTTTATTTTCAAAGTATGGATTCTCATCAAAATACTGCAGAGTTGAAAGCAAAGAATTAGAACCCACACAATGTAAAGACACATGCCAAGTCAAACCTGGTAATGAATGGACTAAATGGATACCTGAAAAGATTAAGTTACAAACTACAACCCAATGTGTGATTATATTCAAAAAAACTCAGAAAAAATCACCAAGTGAAGGAATTATTTAAAGTACTTACAAAATCTATTCTGTAACCTGATTTGATGTCTTCAAATTCTGTCACCTCAACTCTGGTCAAATAATGCAGTGCTTCCTCATCTTCTTCTCCCAGCAGTGCAGATACTAAAACAGAATTAGGAATCCCACATTAACAAGGCTATGAAATGTGTATCACAGAGATGAAATAGAGTAAATTGATAGCAAGTAAGATCTCAAAAGCAGAGTCCAAGTCAAGTTCTTGCAGGCCATTTTTTTTGAGTTACCAGCCAACAGACTATTAGCATTTGTGTGATTTGCAGTTGCTGAGGTGCAAACATTGTTTGCTTGTTGTAGTCCAACATTAAAGAGCAGCAAAAGCTGCATACATCTACCCTTCTCTCTGAAACACATTCGCACATGTAATTTGCGCAATCTAAACAGTCTACAAACTTGTTTTGTCCTCTCAAAGTCCATTGTCAAGACTCCTGAGTTCACCTCCAGTTAAAAAAAAACAACCAACAAACTAGAATAGTTTTAGTGGTGGTTTTGTTTGTTTGGTTGGTTGTTTTTTTTTAAGGATCCAATTATCTAAAAAAAGTGGGAAACTTGTCATTTAAACTGCAGAGAGAAAACCAACATGGGATTTTAGTGAACAAGATGTTCCTTTGGTTAACAAATACAAGAAACAAAAAGCTTATAAAATGCACCGTAGGACAAAAAGGAAATGTTAGCTTATGAAGCGGGTTTCTGTTTAAACGTATGCCCAGCAACAATTCTCAAAAACCCTCAGAGCTGCAAGATACTCATATAACATGCAAGCAAACACTGAGTTTATAGAAAAAAAAAAGGGATATTAAGAATATACCTTGTGGGTGGTTGACAAATGTTGTTACCCAGAAATTTGGGATTTTGGCGATCAATTCTGACCTCTTCTGGAAGAATGGTTGGCGGAGTTTGTTATATTTCTGTTCTACTTTCAAAATTTCCTCACTGGCTTGTTCATTCAGTCTGTAATAGGAAGAGCCACATTAACCACAGGAGAGAGAGAGAAATGAAATTTAAAAATGCATGATCAGTAGTTAGCTAAAAACTGCATGGGTCTGACCAGACTAGTCTGCCATATTCCACAAATGCGATGTCAAACAAAAAATGAGGCCCAAACCAGTATCAACTTTTAAGAAACATACTACTAGAAGCAATCTCACCGATTTTAATGAAACATTCTAAACACATTGTATGTATTGCAGCATTACATAAGGGACAGACCCTTAGTTATGCAAAGCAAAGTAGTATTTTACCTCTTAAACATTTTGTTTGCAAAAGACCTGAAGATGGGTAACACATAACACTATCACCTGCTCTTTATAACTTTTGAGCAGGCAGGCGAGCTACAGCAAAGCACTTTTGTACTCCACACAAGTAAAATCTGAAGACAAAACATTTAATTGATTCATTTTGTAAAAAGGCAGAGTCTCAGTTGTCACCTGCAGTCTTTGCAGGACAGTGTGCATGCAGATAAGACCAGGTGAATGTTGACAGAGAACCCACAGAGAGTTCTGGCATATGAAACTAATGTTTCAGTGACACTTTCTACATATTATTCTATGAGCAAATGAATATATAATTTTAAAAAAGTATAATAAAAGCTAACTTTTCAACCATGTTTTTGGTTCTGCTTACAAGCATGAAAATACTGCAAAACAGAACACACAGTACTTGAACAAACAGTATGAAATAGATTTCTTCTATCAAAATGATCACAGTTAATTAAAAACTTTAAACTCAAGTTCTACCTTTTTAATTACACATAATTAAACAAGAAAACAGAATACTACTTCAAATTTTTTTATCATACACAAATACTTCTTACATGTAAATCATGTCAAAACACAAGTAGATCGTGGCAGTTTAGACAGAGTGAAAACTACTACCAAGTGCTTATTTTACTACGTATTTTTATTTTTCAAAGTTACATTTTAATTTCTACTAAAACACTTTAGAAGTTTTTTTACCTGTCTATTTCATTTTGTACTTCATCAATGTGTTCAATTGCTTCCTGTTGCTCTTTTTCTGAAAAACAAGCAAAAATTCATCAAAATCCCTTCATTCTCAAGTCTGACAAATCACCCGGGGTTTTTGCTTAAGACTTTTTCTAGTCATCTACTTCAGAAGTACACAGATATTTCTATTAAATGTCCTAAGTGTTACCAGGCCTCAAAAGCTTCAGCAGCTTCCAGGGTGTACTATGGCTGAAGTGCCAAAAAGTTTGACAGAATGGTACTTGAAATGGGTTTAACTCTAGAAACCACAGCTCACATTTCCCTACAGTTTTATAAGTCAACTTAAATGATAAGTCAATCATGACAAATAACAACAATTTAATTAAAAAGGCACAAGTCGTATTTGCTAAGACCAGGACATTTGAAGGAATGCCAAAGAATTCAGAGTGGACAGAAATATCAATAGACACAGCTTAACTGAGAACATGACACCTTCTAAAAACCGGGGGGAAAAAAAAAAAAAAAAAAAAAAAAAAAAAGAAAAAGAGAAAACCGTTCAGAAAGGCGGTTACAACTAGAAAAGACTTTCCAGTCGCCGTTTGGCAGGTATTTTCTAGTCGGAAGTTACCCTCGACAAAGCCCGGCAAAGGTCTGGGTTACGGGAGGACTGTTTACCTATCGCGCTGGGAGATGAATGAACGGCAGCGGGAAGTCGCTGGAGCAGTGCAGCACGCTCACTCCTCCCCCGGTAAGTTTCCCGCACTGCTCAGCCCGCGTTAGGGAACAGCTCTCCCCGCTCCCTGGTTGCGCGGGGGGATGCGCTGCCCCCTCCCCAAGACGGAGAAGGCGGCCGGGTACGGAGAACACGTGCATGACCGGAGCTCAAAAGCGGGCGCGGGCACGGCGGGGCGCGACGGCCGGACTTGATGGAAGGAGGAAGGAGCGAGAGCGCTGCGCCCCTTCCGCGGCGGCGGCCGGGAGGAAACCCAAGGCGCGGCGACCTTTCAAAACTGCGAGGCTGCCGCGATCGCACGTGGGGACGGCGTGGACGGCTCCATCGCCGCACCGCGTGGCTCCCCGGGCGGGCAGGCCCCGGCGGCGGAGCCGGCGCCGCTCCATCCCCGCCCGGCGGGGCAGCACCACGCGGCCGCGGCGGCGCCGAGCCCAGGAGGCGGCGAAGCATCATGGCGGCGGCGGAGCACAATGAGGCTCCGCGGATGCTGCTCCGGGAGGGGGAGCGGGGGGGGTCCCGCTGCTCCGCCAAGGCCGCAGCGCCCCCCGCCCGGCCCCGCCTGCGCCCGTGGGGAAGGAGGCCGGGCCGGGGAGCGGAGACAAAAGGGCGCTAACATGGCCTCCTCCTGCTGCCGCTGGGGCCTGCACATCCGCCCGGCCGACCCCGCGCTCTTCCCGCCTCCGGCCCGGCCGCGGCCCGTGTGGCTGGGGAAAATGGCGGTCGGTGCGGCGCGGTGCGAGGCGGAGGCCTCGGCGGCTGCCGCCATTCCCTTCCCGCCCCCGGCGCGCCCTCACCTGAGGTCTCGTCGGCCCCATCGTGGTTGGAGTTCAGCTCCTTCTTACTGACTTTGGCCGCCGGCGCCGACATGTTGGTGGCTGCGGAGCGGAGCGCGAAGGGAGGGGGGGCTGTAACGGGACTGAGCGGAGGGGGGGGGGGGCCGGGCACAGACTCCTCCTGCTTGCCGCTGCTGCCGCTGCTGCCACCGCCGCTCTGGCTCCCTCCGCCTCCGGGGCGCTCCGGCCTCCCTCCGCCCGGACCTAGGGCTCCCGGATAACAGCGGGCGGCAGCGGCACTCGCTCTGCCTCACGCTCCCCACAGCCAGAATCACCACCACCGCCGCCTCCTCCTGCTGCTGCTGGCGAGGGGCGGGCAGCGCGGCGCGCATGCGCAGCAGCCCCCCCCAGGGGCACTGGGAGGGAGGGAGGGGGAAACGGCGGCCGCAACGCGCAGGCGCACCAAGCCCCCCTCCGGGGCGCTGAGGGAGCGAGCGCCGGAAGGCGCAGGCGCGTTCCGCTCCCCTCCTGGAGAGAGGCTGAGCGCAGCGTTCTGCGCAGGCGCGGGAACCGCCTCTCCGCCGCGGGCGGCCCGCGCGCAGCCGCAAAGAGGGCGCTCGGCAAGCCCCGCCCCCGTCGACCACTCCACGCTGGGCACCCATTGGCGGGAGGGAGCGGAGGGCGGGGCTGGGCGCGGAGACACAGAGGACGGCGCGAGAGGCGGGAGAAGGGCGGGGGGGGGGAAGAGAGAGTAGGGCGGTGGCGCGCGCAGGTGTGCGTGGGGGAGCGCGCATGCGTGCGCGCGCCGCGGCCGTTGCTTCGCGCGCACGTGGCCGCGCGCCCTCCGCTGTGAGCACCGCAGGTCGAGGTCCGCGCGTCCCCTCAGTGTGTGGAGAGACGCGGTCCCTCTCCTCGCGTGGGGGTGGCCGAGGGCCCCCGGGGGAAAACAGGGAGGGCGGGGGTTGGCAGTTGGGACCACCGATCATCAAATGGTTCTGAAACAGCTGCAGCGCTGAACGGTCCCCCCTGCCTGAGGCGGCCCCTCTGGCCCAGCCCCAGCACCTCCTGTGCCTGCAGGTGTTGCGTGAGGTGACGTGGTGTTTCCACCCTGCCGTGCCCTGGGGACACGGCGACCCCCCATCTCCCTGCACTGCCTCCCTTAGCTGGAACATGACCCAAAGCAATAACTTCAGATGTTACATTTTAAGGGCACAGAGGCCCTGTCAGTCACATCCAGCACACTGGGTTAATGTGGGAGCACAACTCTAGAAGGTCATTGAGCCCAGCCGTCTGCCAACACACCTGCCACTGCACCAAGAGCAAGCAGACTTTAAATAACTCTTTTGTCCCTTTCCTGTCCACCTGTCATGGAAGAGCTCATTGCAGTTTCACAGCTACAGCTAGCTCTGTTTCGCTCTTAAAGTAACAGCCAGAGCCACTCTTTTCTACCAAAGTATGCAGCATGTCATTCACAGATGAATATTACGTTACAGATCAGGCTAAGAAAAAAGTACAGCACTGATGTAGGAACTTGTCTGTTGTGTTTGTTTTCCAGTCACACAATATTATCGTATTTTCCTTGCTTGTTTCCTTTTTTGTCTCCTCTTCAAGTTGCCCTTACAGTGGACTTACTCAACAAGGCCTGGATTAGTTCCTGCCTTCTCAGAGGTCTTAACTATAGTTTTCTGATTCCCACTCCCACCTGTTGCTTCCAAATCCCAATTGCTTTTTCTTTTGTATTCCCAGCTGTCACTTCCCACCATCTATGTCCGTGTGTCCATTGCTACCCACAACTGCTGCTGCGTGTCCACAGTTTGTATCATCCTTCCCCGTGCAAACAGCAGAAGAGGAGCTGCCCTCTGATAGTCCTATGCTTTCACATACAGCAATGAGCTCTCTTAACTGCTGGGCACAAAAGGTAAGCAAAGCATCACAACTTTATAAATGCAAGATTAAATCCTTCCCAAGAGGGATGTCTCAAGGCCTTCCTGAAGCCCATCACAGTGAGATAACTTATGTCTGCATCTCCCAAGATCAATTAATATGGATATCTTCACATTCAGGCAAGGTAAGCTTGTGTGTGGCTTGGTTTTCTTCATTCATTTTCCTTTGAGTCTCTTTGCTATGCAGTTGTATCTGCTTGATATTTTTTTTGCCTCTTTTCTCACTTGTAATGTACTATTGTCTTTCTCTAGATCAGCCTTTGAAGGTCTATAATTTGAAAATACAGGCCATATGTGTGAAAGCTAGTTCCAAGCAGGAACATGATGATGCGAGCGGCATTTGCCTGCTCTCTACTAGAATCCCTTGTTTAGTTTATGAATTACTCGGTATTCTTGAAGTACATGATTAAGGTGATCCACTGATGTACCTAAAGTCAAGTAATCATTAATTTTAACTGCTGTACTGTTAAAAACATTTCCATGATCTGTTTATCCTACCCTAAAACTAGCTATTATGAATAAGAGTATATCTATTAAATATATATATTAAAATAAAGACTTTTAAAATATGTTTAATTTTGAGACACAAAATACAAATCTATGCTTTCATGCAAAAAGAGAAACCAGAGTTCAATTTTGGGGGGAGGAAGTAGTGTTCTTTCACATAGTTACTTTTTTTTTTTTTCTTTATTTCTTCAATAGTTAGTGTTGGTGATGTGTTGTTCCCAGCTTCCTAATAAACCTTTTGTCCTAACTCTTTTCTAGCAGGAAGAGAACTGAGGAAGTTACAGTAACATCAATACTTCTCCAATTATACATCCTTTCACTCCAACAGACCAGGTACTGTTGCTTTAACAGCCTGTATTTTCTGTTTTTCAAAATAGAGCATTGTTTATACAGTTCAACTCTGGTCTAACTTCTGAGTGTTTCATAAAAGGTCTCAAAACAACAGGTGCTTACATGCTTCTGGGGTTTGGCTCAAAGAATTTGACAACAGTTCACAGAATGATGCCCTCTCTGCGCTCTCCTCCTTGCTTTACAGAAAAATTAAGAAGTAAAACTAAGCCACTGAGTTAAAGTCGTTTTTCAGCCCTAGGAAGGATCAGAGGAGAGCACCCAGCGGCTTTTGCAGCTGAATTGATTTACTGTTTGTTCTTGCTGCATTGTTAACATGTATGCTCAGGAGGAACATGACTCAAATATTTGTGAAGCAACAAGTAGCAGCACAACTCTCATCTCGGTCTGAAACTGTTCCTCAGTGTAGGTACCCCAGACCCTATGTAGTTTCATTACCAAGGAAGGAAAATTGTATCTAGGTGGTATAAAGCCTTGTTGTTACATGAGTTACCTGCTGTTACACAAGATTTTCAGAAATCCCATGCAATGCTTAGGCCTAATATATAACTGTGTTTAATATCCCTGATACTATAACAAAAGATAATGAATACTTAGAGGTTTAATTGATAAATAGTCAGTTACCTCCCTTCACTTCTACTATTTTTCACTATCTATAACTAATCTCTAAGGCAGTTTTAGTCCTTGAATAGCTGTTGACGGTTTAAAGTGTACAGTTCTAATCCTATGATACAGGGTGTGCGTGTGAATGTATTTAGAGAAGATGATGTCCTCCTTCTCTCATCTTCTTGCAAGACCTTTCTCAGCTCTGATTACATCCAGTATAATAGAACAGTAACATTTTTTCCTAAATGAAGTAGCTATACTGCCTATATCACAAATAGTTCTTTTTCTTCCATGTTACAGTTCGTATTCCTGATTTTGTTTGAACTTCAGGTTGCACAGTTCAAGTTGTAAAACCATACTGTATGTAGCATCTTTCAGACTCAGTACATGAGTACTCTGGTGTTGACGAATAAGGGGGTTAGATCTTTGCAGCCTGCCAGATGGCAATGACTTTGCTAGACAAATGAAGAAAATTTGTGTTAGTTTTCCTTTATGTATATTTGGGATATATGGGGGACTTGGCAACAGCTGATAATGATTAATGGCCTTACAGTTTACACAGAGTGTAGCAGTAACTGCACATTTTTCCTCAAGAATTGAATGAACAGAGTTTCTTTGTAAAGATAATCTTGTACTTGCTCCTTGATGTAAAAGTTCAGATGTCCCAATATTTCTTTCCTTAGTTAGGTATGTTACTACAAGAAAGAGATGTAATTGGTAATCATGCTTAGTTTCTGGAATGTGAATTCAGCTGTAAATTTTAAACACGAACCCCTGATTTGGCAAGTGAAATCAGAAAATGTGCTAAATCCTCTCAAATACAATGCAATGATGTGTGAAAAAGAAATAAGAGTATGTTTCCTTCTAAGTATTTCTGCAATGCAAAATGGGCATACATAGAATTATGCAAGTCAGTATAATTAATAGCAGCTTACGTTCTTGTAGTCTTCCATCCCAAAGAATCTCACAGTCTTTACAGAAACTATTGTAGAGAAATATAAAACAAGGATCATTTTACCACTACTGAAAAGCATCTGACTTCTTAACAACTGTACATCTATGCTGGGAGCGTGGTCTTCCACAAAGAACTTGCAGACTTGGGCTCTGTATTAGGAACAAAGATTCCCCCTTGGAGTGCAAAACAATATTTTGTAGAGTATATGAAAGCTTATAAATTACAGAGTACACCGGTTAGTTGAAGGCTGCACAACATCTCAAGCACACATAAGCTTGTACTTGATAGTGAAAGCTGACTGGCATATCAGTGCTTACTCTAAGCAGCAGGCAGAGACACACGGGCTGGTTTGCTGTGTGTAATCAGTTTGACAGCCCCCAGGAACTGCCGAGTCTCCATGACCCTAGACAGACAGTTTGGCACATATATTAAACAGTCAAATACCTCCCCTCCAACTGTTTATCCATCTCCACTAGTCACAGACCTTCCCAGTCAAGCACTCACATTAGAACTGAATGGTTAGATAATGACGGAAGAATCTTCCACGTGTCCTCACAGTTGTTGCAGTTTAAACCCTCGGATGAAAATATTTCTGAGCTGATAACTGCCTTTGAAGCCGGATGGCTGTTCAGTAACACAGACAACAGGGAGTGACTAATACTATGTAGTTGAACAAATCCAGTGATTCTATTTGGATGATTTTTTTTTGTTACTATTTTTGGTAAAGTTCCTATTAGACATAGTTGCTAAATCTGATTTTTATTTTTTACTATACCGACATTTTTAACTTACCAGAGCACTTGCTTGTAATCTGTGAAGAGCTGGATGGTCATGTAACACTTGTGCTTGTTTCCAGATACTAGAGACAAAGAGGCAGTCAAAATATTCTTAAAAATCTTAAATTCAATTCAAAATCAGTGAAGCCTAGGACACTTCTGAACACGAGACATAAGTTTTTCAGGTATGTGGGTACTTAAGAATGTTTTGCTCGTATTTTTCACATAAGGTATACATCTGTAAATTTTGTAGGGAACTG